CGCCAAAGACTTGTCACTCGTGTCTCATCTGGAGGTCGTGTCCAATGGGTTGGAGTCACAGATGAAAAAGATTATCCATTTGTTGTCTTTTGTGGGCCACGACCTCAGGGTTCTTAGGATAAGGAACCGTGAATGCGAGGACCGACTCATGAGTTACAGACGACACGATAAGTTGAATCCAATGACTGAAGAAATGATGACTACATTGAGAGACAAATGCCAACAATTGAGTCGATTATCATTGGAGGACATCACTGATGACAATATCTCCTACAATAGTCTTCCCCAACGATTGACTCATTTGTCTCTAATTGGTTGCAGAAGTGGTGGAAATCAGTCAAAGCCTTTGCCAAGAATTAGCCGTATGTTTGATCCGAATGAGATCCATGGATCAGCTAAATACCAATCCATAGTATATCTGAATGTGAGTCACATTAATGTCTTTGAGTCCCAAATGTGTCGATCAATCAATGGATTCGTTTCACTCAAGTATTTATATCTGAATTCATTGTATCGCGTAAACGACGGCGGGATCACAGACATCACCCCTAAACTGGTCTCACAATTGATTGTCATTGACTTAGAGGGCACTGACATCGAAGACGAGTCATTCCAGTATATCCTAAACAATGGCCACTCTTTGGAGGAGCTATATATGGGAACCACTAAAACGAGCGCTAACTTAGATTTTAGTAAATCTGTTGCCAAACGGCTTAAGAAGTTATGTCTTTTAAATTCTTGTGTCCAAAGGGATAATGTACTCAATATTCTTCGAAGTCATTCATCGTTGCAGTCATTGTATTGCTCTGAAGATATTAAGGAAACAATCGATTCGCCTGTCCTTAAGACTAAGACATCGGATGTGGTTCAAGAAATCGATGGATTGAATGAGACATGTCTTCACTATATCAGTGATAAGCGCTTTGACGCCAAGGATTAGCATTTATTGACCTCTTGAGAAAAGTCTTAACATATGTGCAGAGAATACCTGAAAGCTATTGCGAAGTGTATTAATTAATAAAACTGTGAAACACCTGATTGTGCGCCAAAAATCCCGGGATATCCCTAAGACATAGCACTCTATATCTGATGATCTAATGCGATATAAACTCGCTTTTTATGACATTAAATAAATATATAATATTTGAAATAATTTGTAATTAAAATGTAAAATATAAAGCAATAAAAATTGAATTTATTTGATATGCGTTTCCATCAAATTGGCTGCAATTCAAGGATTTTATGATCAAAATTACGTAAATAAGTATTAAAATTGCGAGAAAAGTCATAAAATCTCGAATAATACTCTGTATATCATATGATTTTAAAATCCGAAAATAATCGAAAATATTATTTATTAATATTATATTCAAAATCAACGAATCCTTCACTCGATGTCAACATTGTTGTTGACTTCAGTCCGGGATCTCTTGCGAAGGACAGTAGTGGTCGGCGATGAGGGACGGGTAGCAGCCCTCTTGTCGGCGAAGTATTGCAAAATAAATGGCTTAACAGTATTCCAGACCTTTTCTTCGACCAACAGATCTGTGACGGCATCGATATCTGGATACATAATGCGATCCTTATCCCAAGGTCTAGAAACACCAGCATTTCATGAGTTCATAAGAACTTCTTATCATACGATCTCAATGTTAGACTCACTTAACGCAAGTCCGGACCAAATCGTAGATGGATTCCAAAGGAGATGTGGTCCGCAATGGTCTGAGGAATTCGATGGCCTGACAGGCGGCCAACAACTCAATGGCTATGATTTTCTCCACGTTTTCTATTACTTGTAAGACCTTTCGGGCGGCGAAGCCTCCCATCGATACGTGATCTTCAGTTCCGGCTGATGTGGACAGTGAGTCCACTGAGGCCGGATGGCATAACACCTTATTCTCAGATACTTTACAATCAGATTTGAAAAATAAAATGAGTTTTGAATGAACAACACGATTGATACAAACCGAGAGCAGCAGCGGTGCAGTGAGCGATCATAAAGCCTGAGTTGAGACCACCGTTATTAACCAAAAAGGCCGGCAGTCCGCTCTGCGCGGGATTTACCAGTCTTTCCACTCGTCTCTCACTCATTGATCCCAACTCGTGGACACCAATCGCCAAATAGTCCAACGCTTTTGCCGGGTATTCGCCGTGAAAATTACCGCCGGATATGATTTCAGCCATATCTGTGAACACCAATGGATTATCGGTCGCCGAATTCATCTCCGTATTAATGATTCCTTTGACAAAATCAATGGTGTCGTGGACTATGCCGTGAACCTGAGGGCAACACCTGATGGTATAGGCGTCCTGAACACGGTTACAGAATCGGTGCGATTCTGCTATTTCTGACGGATATAACTCTGAGTTGAGGACAGACCGTATTCTGCGGGCCACCAGATTCTGTCCCCTATGGGGTCTTATCTTATGAATTTCGGGGTCAAACGCTCGGGTCGTTCCCTTAAGCACCTCCAGTGTCATAGCGGCCACGATATCGGCCTGACGTGCAATGGCTGCCGCCTTCTCAATGGCGTCGGCGCCCAACGATGTAATCAATTGCGTGCCGTTTATTAGAGCCAAAGCCTCCTTTGGTTTTAACTGAAGAGGTTTGAGATGATGTGATTCGAGGACATACTTGGCTTCACCCCAACCGCTCTCAGGGGACCACATCTTGCCCTCACCTATCATTCCCAGAGCTAAGTGTGACTATAAGTGCAAACAGTCTTTAGTTTTATGTATTTATGTTTGGGTTGAAGTCATATTACAAGTGGTGCCAAATCACCCGATGCTCCAACCGTTCCCTTCTCGGGAACCCATGATAGACACGAGGCGTTGAAGGCATCAATCAATTGGAGTAATGTCTCCAAAGAGATACCCGAATAGCCTTTCGCTAAGACATTGATTCTGAGCGCTAACAGCATTCGCGTGCGTTTGGGTGAAAGTGGTTTTCCCACTCCAGCGGAATGGCTTCGAATCAAATTGAGCTGAAGGTCTCTCAAATCTTCTCGGCTTATGATAGTTGTGGCAAACTTTCCAAACCCAGTGTTCACCCCATAGACCACTTTATTCTCGTCCAGAATCTCCTCCAATAACTCCCTTCCCTTTCTAACCTTCTCCTCGGCCTCACTCGTCAACTATTTTTTTAGTTGGTCCACAAATAGCTTAATATAAATTGTTTCTAACATTTCTCACTGGCATTTATATACCCTGATTCTGAAGAGTCCATTCCCCAGTCTAATCAAGTCATCGGCCCCTAAACTATTGCCATCGAGTGATAAATACTTTTCAAAATAAATAAAAGAGCAATTTTAGGAAAACTTTAGGAAAAGTCCTTTCGATAAGAGACGACCTAAATATGTTTATCTAAAGAATGTGAATCACCTGATCCGGGGGTTTATACTTTCCAGAAACCTGTTCCGGAATATAGTGTATTTCAACTGGTCCTGTGATAGGACTGGCCTTATCGCTGTGCAGTACTGTATGGCAATATATTTGCAATTAATATATAAATTCTTTTAAAAATTTCTAAACAAATACTGTATTTACAAAAAATATTCTTATATTTTATAAGAATTATTTCAAAAGCAAGCTATGATACAGTATATACTGTACAAAAATGTGTGTAAATTAAAGATTTAGTATAACATACCAACGGATACAAAGTCATTGTCATCCAGAACATTAGTGATGAGGTCATCTGGATCTAGTATAGCACCACCTTTTGTCTTACGGATTTCATATACAGTTTCCAGAGGCGAAACATTGGGCACATGACTGGACGGCTTTAGTTTCAAATACCTCTTGAGTGCCTCTTCACTCAACCAACGGATAGTCTGACTGTCCGTTTGAACGCAGGGAACGGCAAACCATTCGCCCCGAACTCGCACTGAAATCTTCATGACTTACCAACAAATGGAGTGACAATTGCCACGATCCGGACAATATATATGACAATCGCATTCAATTTGATTGGTTGGCAACTATCATAAACGCAATTTTTTAAAAATCAAAACTAATTAAAAGTGATTTGTATGCAATTCATGTCAATTCATAACTGAAAACTTATTTATTTCCTAAGAATGGCTAATATTTGTATGCATTGAGTAAACAAAACATAAAATTTTCATTTGATTTTACGGTACGATAAAAACGAGTTTAAAAAGTCACTTGAGATTCATTTCATAACTAAACACTTTAATGATCATAAAAATTGCCTAAAAATAAATAATACATTAAAAATGAAATGCATTTCTTATTTACAACATTCCCTTAACTATCAACAAATGAATGGTAAGCTATTGAGGAATGGGAGTCATTTTGATGGACATAATGGGCCAGAATTTCGGTTGATTTACATCACAGAGTCGGTCGAAGTTTAACTGAATCGCTGTTTCCATGCCTTGAATGGCGTTACAGTCGTCGCCGTATAGTTCATACATCTTCTCGCGCCTCAACTCTTGAGCGCTTTTTCCTGAGGTGTCGGTCCCGTCGATGACACCCCTCTTGTGACCCCATTTGCCGCCTCTCTTCGGGGCAACACTTTTACGCGAAAACGAGTCCAAACGACTGATGTCTATGTACTCGACGCGCGAGTTATCCCGAAGTCTCTTCTCTTTCCACTTCTTTCTCTCCGATTGATGTCTTCGTGTCTTCAGAACAAACTCCAGATATTCATCGCTTATGTCCTCGTCTTCGATGTTCTCGAAAACGAGCGCTTCTTCTGTTTCATTATAATCGCATTCATTCTTATGGATCGCTTCCAACGCATCCATTCTGTGGTCCGCCGACTGTCCGCCACTCGTGTGCGGATTGGCATCAAATTGTGGTGATGTCTGTGCGTCGGTGTCCACCAAATCACCACCAAATCTGACCACTTTGTGTCCCATCTGTTCCATCCATTTGTTGCAATCGTTGTAATGACTCCAGAAGGGGTTGAATATGGGCTGCGAATACCACTTATTATCATCACTGCTGTCCACCGCCTCTTCAGCCATCACATCGCACACCAATCGTCTCCACACAACGTCTTAATGGCAATCAAAACGACAATTAAATCAGTGTTTGAATCGTGAAATCAAAACAAAACTCATGTCTTGTGTTCAGTTGATTGAGAGGTGAATGCATTGCACGACATCTGCTGTGAATTGAATGCAAATGCAGTGCAAAGTGAACACAGATTTTGTGAACACTTTTCACGGCTTTCGCGACCAAAACGACGAGTGATTCACAAATGAATTGCCAAACGATTCGCACATTTGTTGGCATTTTGTGAATGAAATGAAAACACGTTTCAAACGCTCTCTTGATTTGCATTTCATTTGTGTTTTGTTTATCAATTCAAAGACGCGTTGAGAGGAAAACGCTGTAAACAATGGATCCGACGGTTTGGCCGCAGATGTTGTCTCTGAATGCTTACCATTTAATGATACCTCTTATGACTTGTTTAGACGGAACCGACGGCCGAGGAAGCGGTGGACTCTTCGGATGCCAATCAACTGCCAAACAATGACAACAACACAGACATCAACGACGAAGAAGTGGACCAAAAGCCACAGATCATGGCTTTCATCGCCGAATGCGAGGAACGCCTGAAATGCAAACAAAGCCAAAGGGAGGACAACAGCAAAGACAACATCATGGCAATCAAAACGACAATTAAATCAGTGTTTGAATCGTGAAATCAAAACAAAACTCATGTCTTGTGTTCAGTTGATTGAGAGGTGAATGCATTGCACGACATCTGCTGTGAATTGAATGCAAATGCAATGCAAAGTGAACACAGATTTAGTGAACACTTTTGACGGCTTTCGCGACCAAAACGACGAGTGATTCACAAATGAATTGCCAAACGATTCGCACATTTATTGGCATTTTGTCAATGAAATGAAAACACGTTTCAAACGCTCTCTTGATTTGCATTTCATTTGTGTTTTGTTTATCAATTCAAAGACGCGTTGAGAGGAAATCGCTGTAAACAATGGATCCGACGGTTTGGCCGCACATGTTGTCTCTGAATGCATACCATTTCATGATATCTCTTATCACTTGTTTAGACGGAATCGACGGCCGAGGAAGCGGTGGACTCTTCGGATGCCAATCAACTGCCAAACAATGATAACAACACAGACATCAACGACGAAGAAGTGGACCAAAAGCCACAGATCATGGCTTTCATCGCCGAATGCGAGGAACGCCTGAAATGCAAACAAAGCCAAAGGGAGGACAACAGCAAAGACAACATCA